TGCTTGGAAGGGTTAAGATAGGCCTACCCACAGCCAATCCTTAACCTCCATAGTTCTCTACATGATGGTATGTTACAGACCCAGCAGCAGCGCATCATAGGCATCTGTGGACAGGGAAAGTTGACCCTAAGATGGTTGGCTAAGCTCAGGGATTCAGGTCTGTGGACATGAAACAGAATGAAGCCAACAGGCTTTATGATGACTGTCAGCAAAGGCCTGACAGTACTAACCCACCACTTTTAGTGCCTAAGTCCTAATTCTATGACAGTAAAATGACTGTCTATTCCCTCCTCAACAGGTCCCCTTTCTTTTCACCTCTGTTTTTTAAAGGTATGAAAGGCTCGATCACTGGAGAAGTTGGCGCGATTGTCAGTTTCTGGCTGAAAGGAAACAGCCTGAGCAGAGGGTGGTATCACCAGAGAGACCTAAAACATGGCAACAACATTGGGAAATAAGACCTGTTGGAATCATGTTAGAAGACTTTACTCCTTATTCTTGTGCAGAGTTAGCTCATCTGACAGCACCATGAAGATTGACTGCCTAAGTTCACAAAATGTCTAGGCTACTAGGTCCCTAAGAGGGGTGACTACCTTGGCAACACTGCCTTCATAAGCAGCTCGAAGGCGGCCTTGCAGAGCTGGTGAGAAGCACAGCAGTCGTTCATTCTCAGCCAGCAGCTTCAAGGTCCCTTTGTCCAGGTAGGAAAGAACCCTGCAAAGACAGGAGCACATCTGACTGAGACTGGGACACAGGCGGCAAGCACAAAGCACATCTGAAGCCCAAGGCAGTGTTTACGCCTAAGTATGTAAGGGAAGGCATGGACTAAGGATTAAGACGATGAAGGTAAGTAAAGCGTGAAGAAATGAGACCTCGTGGAGCTAAGATCAAGACAGCAAGCTACGAACATTAGCCATAAACATAAAAGTCAGCTGTCATTATTATTATTCTTTTTTTGGGGGGTATACAGGGTTCTCCACATGTCTGGCAAGCACTCCACTGATCTACATACTTAGGCCCTTTGTTATTTATTATTAGGACTACATCTTACTTTCAAGGCCAGCTTTGAACTTTCTACAACCTGAGCAGGTCTTTAAACTTGTAATCCTTGCTTGGCACCAGACCCAGCTATTTAATTTCTTTAGGAGACACAAAATTAAATGTGACAGGTGCCTTTAGTACCAGTACTTGAGAGGCAGAGGATGGCAAATCTATACAGGTTCAAGGCCAGCCAAAAGAACTAACTAACCAAAACAACTGAACCAACTAACCAAACAACTGAACAATCAACTTATCAATCAAACAAAAAAAAATTAGGTGAAAAAGGTCTAAGGCCATTGTATCTATGTTAGGCACAATCATGCATCCCAAATCAATAGAGCGAGACAGATAGATAATGAGACTAAGACCCATAATGCCTCAGCTAGGAAAACTCACTGAAACTGACGCTCCAAAACCTGCACTGCAAAGAAGACACAATCATGGATGTTCTGAAACAGGGGCGTTTCCAGGGGATCTAGGACAGTAACAAATGGTTAGTTAACAACTATTCTGCCTGCAAACTTCATTTCACAAAATTTGACTTGCTTACTGACCTAGGGCACCCCGACTTGATTCAAGGTCACAATCCTTGGTGGCCACCATTCTGCGGGCAGTAAGGAGCTGAAGGACGAAGAAAAGCTCCAAGAAGAGGTTTGGTACCAGGTTCTCTGGATATTAAAAAAAATGCCACAACATTGGGCACCACCGACAACCAAGGCTCCATGTGCCGCATCCACCCTCTCTCTCATCCTGTAGTTTGCGAGCGTATCTACCGCAGCTCCCTTTGCTGTCACTCACCAGCAATGCATGAGGAGTAGATAAAGGCTACCAGCTCCAGGCGCTGTCGGGAGGACACCCTGGCTGGGTCAGCAGGTTCTGCTGTGAGGCTTCCTGTCCGACTGGGGATGGGAGACCCCAATTCTGGGAGGTGGCAAGCTGGGGTAGGTGACTGTTGCAACTGCTTGGAGCTAAGCGAACAGAGAGATGTCATGATTACTCAGCCTGGCTTTCCAGAAACATTCACACTCAGGTTCTGCCAGGAAGACATCAAGAGCCCAGGAAGCAAGCCCAGAATCCCCAAGGGAGAAATCAGGTTCAGGAAAAATCCCTGCAAGTCCCGCACAAGGAGGAAGCTGACATCCCAGGTGGCGGCAAAGCCATACCGCGCCTTCCTGAGCATCTCCCGCTCCTCTTGCAGACTTCTGCACCCTGGGGGAAGGCCAAGGCCCCAAGGGCTAGTGTCCAGGGCTGAGGGTTGGGAACTGGGGACACAGCTGATTGGGGGTGAGGTGAAGCAGGTCTTGGGCTTGGAAAGTGACCGCTCTTCGCTCACCGGAGTTGGGTTGATCCTTCGAGAAGGCTTCGTCCTGCTGAGAGTAGTCACAGGTTTTTCTCAAATTTCTACCTCCAAGCATCACTCCACAACAACTGGGCCCCTTTCACGCCCCCCGCCCCGCACTGTGGTTTCTTCACTCTCAGCCTTGGAACCATCGCTAGCTCCGCTTTAGCGAATGTCTTGCAATAAGGGCCGACTCTCACCCTGCAGGGCCGGGAGGAACGGTGCCTACGGGAGGGAACTCCTCCAAGTTGCTGAGGTTTGGCGGATCAGAGAGCGATTGCCTGGGGCTGCCGGGGCTGCCTGAGCCCCTAGGCTTCCGGCCCCCGGCCCAGGGCGGGCTCTCGCCGCTGGCTCCTCGTTCGCGGGACGGCCCCGGGCCCGGACCCCGCCTGCGGCCCGCACGGCGGGCCAGAGGTGCCTCGGTAGACGTGCTGAGGGGCTCGGCGGCAGGGAAAAGCTGGCTGCGCGCCCCACGGCCACCCCGTGGCGGGGCCCCCGACCTCGCTGGCAAGGCGGCCGAGGCGCCCGGGGTCTTGGCGGGGGTTGAGGGGCCTTGCGGGAGAACGCGGCTGCTTTGCTCCCTCAGGAAGTTCAGCAGGAACGGCACGAATTCCTTCCGCAGAGGCCGAAGTGCGCTCAGAGCGGCCGCCTCGGAGCTATCCTGAGGAAGAAGCAGAGGTCGCGAGGCGAGAGGGTCAGCTGACAGCCCCGGACGCCAGCGGCTGAGGCCGCAGGGTGGGCGGCCCGGCAGTGGCGCCCAGAGAAGCGCCCTTGGTGAGGGCCGTCAGCCAGGGCAGGCTGGGAGAAGGGTCTGAGGCATCACCCCCCGCGGGAAGCACATTCCAGACAGGCCTGAGGGCGTGTCGGCAGTGTTACCTCCGAACTCGGGGTGCTGCGCGCGATCCACCGCACGGCGGCTGCAACCGGCACCTCTTCGCGCAGCAGCGACTCCAAAACGGCCGCCATCCCGGTCCGGGCGCTCTGAGACTACTGCGCAAGCGCAGACGCGCCGCGGGCGGCGGGGAGGGGCGGAGCCGGCGGCTCGGAGCGACCGTTGGGCGGCGGGGCGGGGCCTTGTGGGGTGGGGCCTGGCTCTGGCTGTCGGGGAACAGTCTCGGTCCTCTTCCCGCTAGCCTACCAGCTCCGCCAGCATAGGCCTGCAGGACGCCTAGGCCTTGCTCTGACTGCCTGGTCCTGGAGCAATGTGAGCTAGGACGGGACTCTAGGAGACAGCCGCAGCTCTGCGGACACCCCCGTCCGAAAGAGAGGACAGGCAGGAAAAGTGAACAACTCTAAAAGAAGGCACACATCTGCCGTAAGCACGGCCTCGACCACCAACAGTAAAGCTTTTTGATTCACTCCCTCCCCAACTAAAAAAGTTCCGTGAGTAACCTCCAGTTTTGACCTTTCCCCCCCTTCTTCTCAAATGCTGACTTTTCACCACTGGCCAAGCTTTCCAGTGGTCTCTGCTGAGAGGCATCTTATAAAAAACGTTAGCTCACAACCCTCAGGACACTCTACACACAGAATTGTCCACCAGTCTTGTCTTTACACATTGTATGAAGCTGTTTACATCAGGCGAATATTTGAGCTTCTTGTATTTGAGAGGTGAAGAATTTTCACGATTAGCTTCTGGAAGAGTGTTTCTGCAGGTGTTTCATTCCCTGGACACACACCCATGCACCATCCCCCCACTTGCTGGTTAACCCTTGGGCTAAATCTGTCAGTCCTTTATTTTGAAAAATGAGAGATTTTTTTGATGTTGCTCCTTAATTAAAAAAAAAAAAAAAGCCGGGCACACACCTTTAATCCCAGGACTCGGGAGGCAGAGGCAGGTGGATCTCTGAGTTCGAGGCCAGCCTGGTGTACAAGAGCTAGTTCCAGGACAGCCTCCAAAGCCACAGAGAAACCCTGTCTCAAAAAAAAAAAAAAAAAAAAAAAAAAAAAAAAGATAGGGCTAGCAAAGGCGATAGAGCCGTGGATTGCCCTGTGTTCCTTCCCTTCAAAGGAAGACCACGTGGTGACAGAGTAGAGAACAGCAATCCCTCTAGTGCTACCAGGATGTTTGCTAGGGAGAAGGAAAGAGCTTTTAAGGCTTAATTCTGTGCTGGGTTTAGTGAGTGCCTGCAATCTCAGCATTTGGCAGACTGAGGCAGGAGAATCTCAATTTCAAACCCACTTTGAACTCACTCACTCACACACACACTCACTCACACACTCACTCACACACACTCACACACTCACTCAGTCACTCACACACTCACTCACACACTCACACACTCACCCACTCACACTCACACACACTCACTCACTCACACTCACACACACTCACTCACACACTCACTCACAACTCACACACACTCACACTCACACACACTCACTCACACTCACTCACACACTCACACACACTCACACACTCTCTCTCTCACACACACACACACACACACACACACACTCTCAAACCCCTGAACCCTGGTTTTTCATCTAGCTTCTATTCAGTTAGCCCCAAATGCCCTTTTTTTGGTCATTGAATCACTTCTGGTTTACTGAATCTGTAACACTGTAGATTAGGAAGTATTTTCCACTTTTTGAAATCCAAACCATCACACAAATAGCACTAAAGTTTGCATGCGTACTGAATGTTTTATTACTAGATTATAAAAATAAAATACAAAATAATTTTAAAACAGAACTTAAAACACTGTACAAAGCTTTAATATGGTACAAATGGGAAAATTAAATAAATAATTACACTTTTATGTACAGATGGCCTATACAAAAGCACTGCATGTTTTTCTTTCAATACTTTATGTCCTTGGTTGCCTGAGCAAAAAACGCATAAAAGGAAGATTCAGGGAGGGGGAAAGGGACACAGTGCAGTACATTTAAAAGAACTTCAAAGAGCAATTTCTCATTAAGAGGAGAACAGTAAAATGGATTAAAGTAATCTAACTCATTTGTCTTGTTCAACAAGAGAATTAGGGTTGTGACTAAATCTGACGACATTTGCTGGTAATAGCTTACAAACTTACATTTATATCTAACACAAAGTCAAACATGCCTCCTTTGCTTAGAATTTGTAAATAAATGGTCTGATGAAACAGTGCTATTTCAAGAAAGGTGCCAAAGGGAAATGAGAATGTAAATCAGGGAACAGCAAGGCGGCTCAAGTCTGGGTCACCAGATCTGTTCTTTGTACTCAATGCCTCCAATCCAGTCTCTCATCTAAGATTTTTGCTTTTTTTTTTTTTTTTTTTTGAGACAGGGTCTCATGGAGCCCAAGTTGGCTTCAAACTCATTATGTAGCACATTAAGACCTTCCCTCCTATTCCTCCCTTTACCTTCTAAATGCTGGGATTATAGGCACAGACCACCAAGTCTAGGCAATCCAATTTCAAAGTCCTGAGTGGCCCAGAGGTACATTTCCTTTGTTTTAAAAGATATAACAATAAAGATCTTCCTATATTTTAATTTCTGAAATTTCTAACTTAGAGAACTAATTACACTAATTCAATGAAACTGTTTTAGCCAGGCGTGGTGGTGGTGGTGGTGGTGGTGCACACCCTTAATCCCAGCATTGTGAGAGGCAGAGGCAGGTGGATCTCTGAGTTCAAGGCCAGCCTGGTCTGAAAGCTAGTTTCAAGGCGGCCAGGGATGGCTGCACAGAGAAGCCTTGTCTTGAAAAATCACACAAACAAACCAACAAAAAAACTGTTTTGATAAAGTCTCAAAGCTCTCTTCTCATCAAACTCCCTAAAGTAAATCACAGCCAAACACAGTTGCCTTGTTTACTGCTGTAACAAAAACACCTGGCCTAGCCTAAATTTGCTCAAGATACAAGTGAATTTTTGAGGATTTAAATCATGTTTTATAAGAGTTTTAAAAAGCATCATATGGTAAAGATAGTCTACATAAAAACTTGGTTTACTAATGTCTGTAGCTGAACAATCAATCGTGTGTACAACACAAAACAATTTTAAATTATATAGAAATCAACTGATCCACTGTTGGTGTAAAATTATGTTATCAGCAAACTCTGTAATCCTATAATCTCCTCCTATAGTCTCAAAGATCTGCCTCATTCATTCTGTTGTTGTCTAGAAAGTGTGGTTGAAAGTACCGGAAGTGGTTGGCATCATCGGTCTACAATGTAGATACTGTCACCCCATGTAGAGAAGGCAGAGGCTTGTTACATTGTAAGGGCAATGGAAGGAATGCCACTCTACTTTTGCTACAGGGTTTCTTAAAACCAAGGTTTGGGTGAAGTACAGGAAAATAATCCTTGAACATGCCTTGGCCAGCCTGATTATTAGTCCTTGTGTGCGAGAGCAAATACTGAAGTCATTACTGAGAAAATCTTTTGTCATTTAGCATCTTGAGATTGTGTGAAGCTATGAGATGATCTTATCACTAATTTATGGATGCAAATTCTCTCACAAGAACTTAACTGAAAGCCTACATATTTTACCCAGATTCCCCTCTAAGTGAATAATAGGGGTTCTTGTCCCAAACTTGGGAGTTACCTATGAACTATGGGATTCTCCTCTTCCTGCAGTTCTGGCAAGTAATGTTGGGTACCAAAATTCTGAAGGCTCAGAGACTGTTAAATTTCTGGAGAAAGTATGGCAAATACCCAATAATATGAGTTTCTGCTTTACTTACAAATCCTCATAGTGTACACCAGAGTTTTGTAAAGTTTTGGTAAGGACAGAAAGTGGGGTGCATACTGTCCAAGTTGTGACACTACCTGTTTCCTTCCATAATAAGCTAAGGTCTAAGATGCACCACAGTAGCTTCTGAACTTGGGTATATGTTGGCATATGAGGACTACAATAGTAGTTACATGCTGTAATCCTATAATGCACTTGGATTGAATCCTACATAGCTGTTCTGCAAATGTATTGTCTATGAAACCAAATTCAAGAAAGTTAAACAGTACAACTGGTTGCAACTGTCCTATCACCCCAGTAAAAGAGGTGCTAGATGAACTATCCCCAGAAACAATATCCTAACACAAAACCAGAAATAGGCACGTTTAAGAAAAGTGAATGCAAACAATCCTTACATGAACAAGACAGACATCATTCTTTAAAACATGCCATGTTTGACAAATACAAAAGGATGAGAAGGAGTATAACGTGAATACATACATACATGTATGAAAACAAAAAATAAAAAAGAATGTAGTTTTTGTTTTGTTTTTGAGATAGGGTCTCATACTAGCCTAGGTGGACTTGAAATCACAATGAAGCTGAGGCTGGCTTCAGAGTCTCTTCCATCTTCCCACATCCCTCAAGTATTGGGTTAGAAACATGAACCACCATGCCTAACTAACAAGTTTTTAAAATATGAAAAACTTTGATCTCCAAGGCTAAATCTAGATTATCTACAAATAAATTTTAAGATATCATTTTCAAGATGCATTTTTTCCTTAAGCCATTAAATTGTGAATCCTGTCAACAGTTCCTAATGTTAGATTGGAAATGTAAAATTTTCTGCCCTTGAATAAAGGCACCTGTTTGTCATCAAGGTTACTGGGTGTAGAAAATCTCATTATGATTTAGCTAGCTATCTGGTCTAGGTTTATAAAACATGCTGCAAATGTATGCCTTTTTCTTTGTACAATGGATGCAATCATAGAAACAGTAGCCTAGGAATCTGTGGCTGAGAGGAAATCTCCTCTGCCTGCTGAAGTCTCTCAAGTTTCCACAGTGGCCAGTAGTGGAACAGACAGACATACTGTGTATGTAGAACACCAAATTAGCATACAGTGGCTTAGTACGCTAGAGCAAATAATGCCAGGTGGATAATGATGACAATGGACCTTTGACCATTTTCTACTTTGTTTTTAGGCCTTGATTAACTTGTTAGGCAACTTTTACCAAAAAAACATTCATTGCAAAGCATGCAACTAAAAAACTAAAAGTAACTGTGCTCCTGTCTGCAAGGCCAGCTTGTGTACCAGGGTTGGAAATAAATTCCTGGCTACTGACAGCTTCATTGGAAGGGGAATCTATACCTTAATGTTGAATTGGATATGATCCAATTTCCTCCTGTGTTCACTATCCATTGAAGTCAAATACGCTTAGGCTGTGCAAGATTCCTAGGTATGATTTTAATATTTTAAAGCAATTCACAATACCTGAAGGTCAATAGTATAATTTTGGGGCAACATTACCTAAAATTATGAACTAAACTATTGGCATATTTACTTTTGGCTTCACTGAAATAATCCCAGAGACGAAACAAGGCAAGGGTGGGCATGAGTCAGTAACCTCTGCAGATGGAGGTCAGGAGGTACTTGCTTTCCAAAAGGTAACTTAACTTTGGTCTCACACTACTTTTGTTATACCTTCGGTCATGTTCCTCACTTTAAGTAAAATAGCCAAACTGTTTATATTTATTTGGATAATCTGTATGCTATCAATAAAAACCTCAAAATAAGGAACCTTGAGTCTCTGGATCATACTCCTGATCCAAAAGTGTTGCTTAAGATTGCCAACAACCTGAGAGACTATGCTTTTTAATCTCTCTTTTTTTTGGGGTGAGGGTGGGGGTTGGAGATAGGGTTTCTATGTGTAGCCCGGGCTATCCTGAGACTCACTCTGTAGATTAGGCTGCCCTTGAACTCTGAGATCAAACTGCCTCTGCCTCCCGAGTGCTGGGATTAAAGGTGTGCACCACTAACACCTTGGCTCAGCTTTTTAATCTCTGTATCAGGATAACACTTAATAAATGGACCTACTGATACATAAAATATTATAATTAGTCCATTTCCTTTTCTTCAGAGCAAAAACATCTTTGGTTGGCTCTTTTCCCTACATGCAAAATAAAACATTCTCAGGTAATGAGGCCATTTGTCTCTGGATTTTGATGAGTTTGTTAATGACATGTAGAAAAGGAGGCAACACATTAAAAGGTTGAAGAAAACAAAGAAACCAAAACAGAAAACATCCTGTGTCATGCTGCCATCACCTTGGGTTTTGACTATCAGTAGAGAAATTCAGAAAGAAAAAGGCTGGGCTGTATTAGCTTTCCCAGTGGTTACTATTAGCACACAACTGACTAGAGAGGTCAGTATTAAAGCTGGCTACTTTTTAGCATCATTTAGCTAATGTAAAAGAAAGATAATTTCTTAATTATCCTACATCCCATCTCCACTCCTATTCAAAAGAGTGACATGAAAGAGGCAACTTTCAGGAAATGTTTTAAAAATCAGCTGATGCCAGATCCATAATTATAATGCCCATCGACCCACTCTAACCATAATGACAGGACTATGTGGCTAACATGAGTAATCTTTGAGCCTGTATTACAAGCATATCCTGTTAAAAATTTCACCTATTAAAATACTTTTTAAATGAAAATTAAGTATCTTATACCTTGGCTTGTTAAAGACTGCCAACTGTTGCACTATGTACCTGGAAGGCAAGAGGAATCTTAGGTGTCACATGCCTAGAACATATTTTCAGAAAATGAAGATGGGCAATGCCCAAGTGTACACGAGGCACACAATAGAAAAGGAATTTCATCATCTAAGGATCTTGAAATTACAAATGCAGAATGAGAAAGAATGGATTTATATAAGCATATGTCTCTATGTTTATAAATATTTATATAATTTATCATGAAAGACATGCAAGTAGTATTGCAGCAACTGTTCTACAATATAATACACAAGGGCCATGTTACAGTTGTAACAGAGAAACACTAAATGTGCCTTATCTGCTGCACTGCTCTGAAATGCTGGAACCTGGAAAGAAATTAGATTCCACACTATGCCACATTTCTCATGGAGACCTTATGTCTCAGTGTAGTGTCCCAGTTTTGAAAATGCTCAACACAGAAAGCAAGTTAAGTGCAGCATCAGGGCAGCTGGAATGCAGCATTGGAACATGCTCACTTGGTGAAGAAATACATTTCCTTCTCCACTCACCCTTACCTCAAATTCAGCTGTTTTAGGTTTGGTAGCAACATAAGGTCAAAGAGAAAGATGTTTGTTAGAAGGCAGATTTCAACAGCAGGAAGATCAATTTCCCTGACCTCAATAAGGTTTTTGTCATACTAAACACTCAAGGGCATCAAATAGCCCATTTTAAAAGTCTGGTATTCTTTAATTTGCCTCATTTTTGCTAGAAAGAGAATGAGGATAGAACAAATATGATCATCCTTACAACTTTGTAAATTGGGATTATGTGGAGATTGGGTTAAGAAGCCCAAGCATTAAACACAAGAACCAAGTAATAAAAACATTGAAAAAAAACTATTTAGCCTAAATTTATTTCCCCAGATATTCATTCCTTATTGGCTAAATGTATAAAATACAAAAATCTGAAGATTATAAGTTTCAATAACATACTTAATTTCTTTCTAAGTCTCTAAAACATAAGCCACATTCTCAAGTGTTGTGCTTTCCTAGTGCCATCTTGAAGGCTAACACCAGAGAGTGCAGGGAGGACATAAAGGAAGCTGTCTCCTCTGGTCAGTCTTCTTCTACAAGGAGGAGATGCACTCAGGTCAAATGAAGGGATGCTTCCACCTTTAAAGACATTGTCCCACTCTCTCTCCCTTCCTCTCCAAATACACCTGCCTGAAACAGCTCTAGCTGGACATCACTTTCCTTTTTGAGATAAAGATATATGAGCTAAGCATTGTGGCTCAAAGGAAAATAGCAAGGTTTGACTAAATGAGGGCAACTGGATTTTAAAGTGTTAGCATGTGCTGCTGAAAACCTTATTTGGGTGCATTGTTAAAATAAGATGTAAGAAACAATTTAAAAAATGTAAAACCCAAGAAAGAGACTAGGAATGAGTGGATTCACTAAATAAGCACACAAATCAAATATACCCAAGTACTAGTTTCCTGGCAACAGGCTTCTTATATATTTGAATGTCTGCACAATGACTCTCCAAGGTTAGGAAGTTGTAAATAAAAATATCAAACACTTTGCTATACTCTTTGAGTAGAGGATTAACAACTTAGGCAAAATCACTTAAAATTCCATTCTATTTCCTATCCTCAACTTCCTATTTCAAAGGCAGCTATAGAACAAGAGCTCATTTATGAGTTTCTTCCCTTGGATTTTGCTGGACTGAGCATTTGACTCCTGGTCCACTTCCTACCTGCCCTAGGTAATTCCTTAGTATATAGATAGTTAAGTCTTCTTATAAATAACTGATCATGTTACTTTCTTTTGCAAGAGAAGATCAACACTGATTGTTTGAAACAGACACTACAGGGACACACATGCATCAGGTCTAGGAGTAAGATCTCACACCTTTCCCAGAATACAGCCTGCTTGCTTCCTATCTGCTGAGTTTACTGGCTGGCTTACTCTTCCCTGGGGGAGTTTTAGAGCTGGCTGAGTGGTGGTGGAGGCTGCCAGATCCTTTTGGGCCATTCTTGCTGGGTTTGCAATGCTCTTGTTGGCAGGACCTCCTGGAGGACGATGATCCTGAGTGGCTTGGGGGTGACTTGCTTCTCCCCAGATGTGGGGACGAACTCCTCTGGTCATGGTGGGGCCGTCCAGCCCTAGATGGTGAGGAACTAGATGTTCGAGGCAAGGATGAGCTTCGAGGAGAGGCACTGGGACTCCTGCGAGGTACAACTGGACTCTTGGGTGGTGTTTTTGGATTGTGAGGAGATCCTGGGCTCTTGGATTGAGGAGTACTCCGGGGTTTCTGAGATCCATTTTGAAGAATTTGGGCCAGGCGAGAGAAAAGGTCTGAGTCAGAGTTACTACTCCCTAGAACTTTATATCTGCGTAGCCTTAAAAGAATAGAGAAGAATTAATTTTTTTTGGAGACAGGACCCCAAAAATTCATTATAAATGTGTCTAAAATCACAGTATCCCAAAGCATAGTGTTTATGAAGTCTGTCAAAATCAAAAATATACTAAATGGACACTGAATTTCTCTTCCACTTGTATGCTGTATGTGGCACCAGACAGATTAACATCTGCTGTGTCTTTTTCCTTTTGATTAATGCTTGTTTCCTTTGACAAGGTATTCCTATGTAGCCCACACTGGTCAGGAGCTCAGCATGTAACCCAGGCCAAGCTGGTCTTAACTTGACATTTTCCTGCCTCAGTTTCCCAGGTATAGGTATTCACCATCTCTAAGCTTTCCATCATTCCTGGCCAAACATACCCAACAGGGGACAGGAGGTTGGTTTGGTGGGTAAAGGCTCTTGCCATGAAAGCCTGGTGACTTAGTTTGATCCCTGGAATCCACATAAAGGTGGCAAGAGAACCAATTCCACAGCGTTGTCCTATCACCTCCACACATGCACCATGCACACTCTCCCATCATGCATCACACACACATACACACACACACACACACACACACACACACACAAAATCAGGTTAACTATACTTTCTCTTGCTTCAGAGCTTCCCAAGTGCCATCATTGCCACATGTCTAGCAGTAATCAAGGCTTTGTTTGTTTTTAATGGTTTTCTCATATAGGCTCTCTAAGTAGCCTGGCCGGGCTGGAACTCACTATGTAGGTCATTCTTGCTTTGAACTTGTGATTGTCCTGCCTCAGTCTTCCAAGTGCTGGCATCCGTGTGGGCTATCACACCCGGCTTTATAACCACTTGATACTATAATATGGGTTGTCTCTCTGTACCATGTTTATTAGTTTAACTCTTAAAGTCTACTTTAAGGTTTGCTACTGTGAACAAACTTTAAGTCTGACTAGTGTTCAGAGGTGGGGCCTTTAGGAAGTGATCTGATTACATGAGATCATTAGGGTAGAGCAAAAGGATACTGACATATGTAAATTTATACAAGTGTTCATGCCACCATGTGTTGTGACTAGGGGTGAGGGTACTTGCCATGACCCTGTGCCGTGCTACTTGGAATAACAATGAACTTCTTAGAATCTCATTCTCCTTCTAAATTAGCCTGTCTCTGATAAATGATTATAGGAACAATAAACTGACTAATACTTAAGGTTTTTAGTAGAGAATATATATATTAGGGACCTTTTTTGATGCTAGGAACCTCTCCCATCTAGAAAAAGACTGTAGTAAAGAGTCTGCTCAGTGTAATTATTTTAGAAATCTGAAGTGCATTAAAAGCTTGCAATATGCAGAGGAAAACTTGGACCATAAACTGCAGTTAATTTTGATCAAAGACTGCTTCCAAAGGACCAGAGTTTAGTTCTTAGCACCCACACTGGGCAAATCATGACCACCTGTGACTCCAGCGTCAGGGGATCCAACACCCTCTTCTGGCCTCTGAGGTCACTGCACACATGCGCACATACCCCCTCCCCCAGTTAAAAATAAAAATAAAATCTCTGGAAAAAAGATTTGTTTGGAGGTTCTGTGTTCTAATTGCTTTTTGTCGCCAACCCCCATCCCAGGGTCTCATGCATCCCAGAACAGCTATGAATAAGACCAGCATATTTGTTGAGGATAATAAATTACACTGTCAACAGGTTAATAACCATGGTGCATAGCACCAGCATGAGTTTGAAAGTTGTCATGACTTGTATCAGTTCAAACTAGGGACTATAATTTTCTCAGATGCCTTGGGAGTATTCAACATTATATATATATATATATATATATATATATATATATGTTTTTAATGAGAAAGACAAGCTAACCTGAATACAATGCTGAAGAGAACAACAACCCAATAACAAAAGCTACAAATTAATTTTCATTCTGTTCCAGTTAGTACTGTTCCTCTAAATTTCACATTTCTTCTGAGAAATGAATTAATGTGTAATTTCCTCGTTTTGCAAGTTCTAATGGTGATATGCAAACATTTTCTTGCTCTTGCTACAGCTGAAACTCTACAAGGTCCTGCCCCTTGTGTACTAACCAGACCAACTATCAAAAAATTGTCTAATGATACAAATGACTTATGCTACATCATTCAAAGTGATAGATAGGATGGGACATTTCAGAGACTGGTATATTTTTATTTTGTTTAGTTTTAATTTTAGGAGTTCAGTCATATGGTGGTAACTTCAAAGACAATGGTCCCACTGGCTGAAATAATTCCTTTTATTCTGCTGGCTTAAGTCTGAAAAAAAAATGACATTAAACTTTATTTTACTGTGCTCTAGTTTTTTGTTGCTGCTCTCATGATATGAAAGAGTGGCCACCCACTACATCTGCTGTATATCTGTCCATTATTGCAAGACCCCTTTCTGTGACTTTCAGGGATACAAAGAATTAGTATCTTCTCACTCTGCCTCTAATTTTTTTCTCTTTTCTCTTTTGGGAACTAACTAATAAAGACTAGGACAGGCTGGAGAGATTACTTGGTGGGGAAAGGTGCTTTGCCTCCAAGTTTGATAACCTAAGGTCAACCCCCAGGACCTACATGGTGGAAGAAAAGAACCAAATCCCTCAAGTTGACCTCCAGCTGCTACATACACACACACACACACACACACACACACACACACACACACACACACACACACACACACACACACAGACACACACACATGTTTTTAAAGCACATTTGAACAGTGAGAAGCAGCAGAAAACAGTAAGATAGGAGAACTGACACTGAATCTGAATTATAAGAAGACAAAAGGTTAGAGTAGGGGACTGGCAGGTGGACTGGTGTAGGCACCACAGGAACTGAAGAAGCACAGAGAAAAAGACACCTGAAGAACAGCTGAAAACTCCCCAAGTTCAATGAAAGACAAGATACAACATCCAGTAAGCTCAACGAACTCTTAAGCAGATGACCCCAAAGCTACCTAATCACAGACCATCAAACCAAGACGCAATCAAACTGTCAATAGTCTTGGGAGCAGCAAGAAATAAGCAGCTTTTCACATACAGGGAGTCCTAAAAAACTTTTCTAAAACATCAGAACTTCTGGAGGTCAAAAGGCAATGGTCTGAGGACTGAGATTTTTAAAGCTCCAAGAGAACTGTCAATCAGGAATCTTGTGTTGAGGAAGTATCCTTCAAAGATGAGGGAGAAATGAAGATTCTGTGAGTCAAAAGCTGAGGTAGGGGCTTAGCAGTATAACAGAGGTATGTACTTAGCATGCATGAGGCTCTGGGTTCAATACCCACAATACTATATATTACCACCATTTATATGGCCACCAGACCTGCCATATAGCAATGCTAGCTGAAGTTACTGCAGGTTGAAATGAGAGGATAATACACAATAACTTGAAGCCATACAGAGAAATAAAGATCTGAATAAAGACAAATATGTAAATACATAAAAAGTCAATTATAAAAGTGATTATTATTCTAGTAGCTATTTATAACTTTTTGTTTCCTGAATGATTTAGGAGACTAATACATTTATAAAACATCCAGTTCTTAAAGTAGAATGTGACTATTGCACATCTATAATCCCAGCAGGATAATGAGGAGTTCAAGGCCAATTTGAGCTACATAAGCTTTTATCTCAAAAGCAAAACTAACCAATTATAAGCTTATGATTAGGGACATTAAATGAAGATGTAATCTTATGATTTAAACAATTAAAAGGATGGATTGGGAATGGAAACTTAAAGGGGCACAGTGACATATTCCTCGTATTACACTGCCGAAAAACCAATTACAATGGTGGAACTACAGGATAGTCTGTGTACTCCATACTGACCACAATGAAAACAAACACGATATACACAATAGGAAAAAACAAAGGAATTTACGGTTACAGTTTCAACACACAGACAGACAGACAGACAGACAGACAGACAGACACACACACACACACACACCTTAGCCAGCTAGAAAAGAAGACACACCAATAAAGAAAGAACAACATGCTTTATGCAGGGCCAGCAAGGTGGTTGAGCAGCAAAAGTATCTGTCAACCTGACAGCCTGAGGTGGATACCAAGACCCACAAGATGGAAGCAAGGAGAGGATCAATCCAACAAGCTGTCCTCTAACCTCTGCATCTGCAAAGGCATACACAGGTACATAAATAAATAGAATGTTGTAAGGCCACTGTAAATGAAACACCAAAATGGTAGAAGTCCCCTTCCTCACAACCATCTTCAAAAGGAAGGAAATTCTGCCTGACCCTAATATGAACGACCTGAAAGACTTTATGCTAGGTGAAATAGGCCAGCTACAACAGAACAAACTAGAGATTCTACTACTTACCCCAATTGTTTAAAATGACCAAAACCATAAAGAAAATCAATGAGTGATGGTCACACGGCAAAATAACAGAGTTTATGCCACTGAAAATGCCACTTAAAATGAGTAAGATTGTAAATTTTATTTTGCCACAATGGAAAAAAAGTGCATTAGTCTGGGTCAATCTATACTGTGCCCTAATGCTTGTGGGAGAAAAAAAAAACACATTCAAAAGAAATGCTACCACTGGTGTCACACAGTAAAGCACACTTGAAAATACCATTACACACTACACACATAGAAAACATGAAGCATTACCTGGCTTCTACTCCAGGCCTGATCGGTGGCTTTCCTGGTGGTGGCCGAGGCAAGAACTGAGGGGAAGCTGAGCTATTAACTTGATCCGTGCTGACCCAGGAAACTGGCCTTGGAATCTTGCTCTTTCTAGACTGGGAGATGATGGGTGACAGAAAGCCATCTTCAGCTGATCTACTCAGATGGGAATCTACTGCCAGTCTGGAAAAGGGAGTAAAGACTTCCTCCTCAGAAAAGGGAACAGGAGCAGCAGCTAATTTCTCCTCTATTAGCTTATCGGAGGCACTTGATAGGTCCCCCAGGAAAGACTTGAACTGCCTTTTTTCTACCAGAAGTTTGACTAGTTCTGGCTGGTAGGCTTTCTTCTGTAGAAGCTTTTCTTTTGCAGAGACTGCAGAGGATGACTCAAAAGTTGAGTCTATTTCTTGTGCTAAAACAGGGATCCGGCTGTGCCTGGTTACAAAGGATGACCGAAGCATGTCCTTCCGGGTGGGAGTACCATGCTCATTCTCTGGGACACAATGATATAGCTCTCCATTTCTAGGGACAACCTTCTCTCTCTTTCCCTCTTGGTGCAAAAAAGTAGAGAGGTCTCCCTGATGTCCTGGCAAGTCTTCACTCTTAATGTCAGCATCCTTAAACAGCTTATTTTTTTGCATTACTGCCACCTGGCCTATCTGCCCTTCAGCATGTGGGTCAATGACTTGAGAAATTTCTGATGTTCCTACTGTCAAAAGCTTCATTATCTCATGTTTTTTGTCCTGATTTGGCACCACACTAAAATTCTGTGTCTTTGATACATCAAGAGGTTCTGTGGTAGCTGACTGATCCCTTTCTGTAGTTACTAAATCTGGGTGAGAGATTTCAACACAATGTTGCCCTTTACTTAACTTCTCATCTTCATTATCTGAACCCAGAAGAATGCTTTTTTCCTCTGTTTCTCCAGGGAGATTTTCAAATTCTTTCACAACTAATCTATTATGGTCACAAAGGTCTTTTGGTCCCAAGTCTTGAGATGTGTCACCATCTCTCATATTGGGTAACATGTCATGACCAATGTGATCTATCTGAAGTCCCAAATCCATTCTGCTTCCTCCACTAGGAAGTTCGCCCTCTGTTACAACCAAGCCCGAGAAGTTTTCCCTTGGAGAATAAAGCTCCACAGTGGGTTCCAAGGGTTGAAGATCTTTCTTCTCTGGTTGTGGACCATAGTGAAAGCTTCCTGAAGTTGACTGTGTTGATGCAACAGAAGGTCTAGGAATTGTAATCTGGAGAAGCAGGAAGAAAAATAGAAAAACATTGAATTATGTGGGGTATCAATCAGATGCATGGTTTGAGATATAATACTTCAGATGAAGATGTTTACCAGGTCTTCCCAACTCACACTAAATAAGCAACTGTGAATAAACATGAAGGCCTCTGAGTTCTCCTCAAAGGAGCTGCACAGAAGGAAGAACCCTAGAGCTTCTCTGTGCTTGCCCCTTTAACATGCTCTCTGCATGGCCCAGAAGACGGCACGGCCCAGACTCCTTTGCAAATGGGTGATCTATGATAAGTTAGATTCTATTATCCTTACACTAAAGTCAGTTTTATGTGAATGCAATTTAATATCTTTTTTTAAAGGCCTTTTTGGAAGAATCAGATAAATTCAGATCACTTAATGAAGTCCATTAAGTCCTAGGAAAATAAAACAAAACATTTTGATTCAGGAACATAATTAGATTTACAGACATGTAAACCTGCAGACCAGTCTAGGCAGAAATCACTTGGCATATGAAGTAATTCCTAAATAGGACAGGCATGGTGGTATATGTCTGTAATCCCAGCACTTGAGGTACGAGGAATTTGAGTTCCAGGTCAACCTGATCTATGCTGTAAGATTTTGTTAAAATATGGCCAGGCCTTTAATCCCAGCACTCGAAAGGCAGAGGCAAGCAGATTTCTGTGAGTTTGAGGCCAGCCTGGTCTACAGAGCGAGTTCCAGGACAGGGTCCAAAGCTACAGAGAAACCCTGTCTCAGGAAAAAAAAAAGATTTTGTTAAAATAAAAATAAGGAACTAGAATCCTGAGGATGCTTCAGGTGAATTCACGACAGGCTATTTGGGTTCAGAATTGCAGTAATCCCAGACCTATTTGAACTTCAAGAAAGGCAATAAGTTGTCTTGGGGATGTTCTCTGTCAGGAGGTCACCTCCTACTTCCTAAATATTTAAACAAAAATCTTGTTAAATTATTCCAAGATACTGAGGTAGATGGCAACTTCCTATACATGTTTTCAATGCATTTACTTACTGTGTGTGTGTATGCAAGTTCACTTGCACCATAAAGCATATGTGGAGACCAGAGGACATGAATGGGGGTCTTGGGAATCAAACTCAGGTTCTTAGGTATGGCAGCAAGCACCTTACTCACTAGACAATCTTGCCTGTCGTGTGTGTGTGTGTGTGTGTGTGTGTGTGTGTGTGTGTGTGTGTGTGTGTGCGCGCATGCCATAGCTCAAACCTAAGGGAGTCGGTTCTCTTCTTCTACCATGTGGGTCCTAGGACTGGTGGCACTTTTATCTGCTAAGCCATCTCGCTGGCCCTCTAGTATATTTTTATAATTGTATTAAATCTAAAATTCATAGCACTTCCCTTTTTTTTTTTTGGTTTTTCAAGGCAGGGTTTCTCTGCTGCTTGGAGGCTGTCCTGAAACTAGCTCTTGTAGACCAGGCTGGTCTTGAACTCACCGAGATCCGCCTGCCTCTGCCTCCCAAGTGCTGGCATTAAAGGCCTGTTCTACCACCACCCGGCAGTACTTCACTTTTTTTTTTCAAGACAGGGTTTCTCTGTATTGTTTTTGTGGCTGTCCTGGAACTCATTCTGTAGACCAGGCTGGCTTCCAACTCACAGAGATCCACCTGCTTCTGCCTCCTGAGTGCTGAGATTAAAGGCATGCACCACCAACGCTTGTACTTCACTTTTGTAAAGTTACTTTTTAAGATCAAAGTGTGGCAATTGTTAGAAAAGTAGATTTGAAATTACATTAAATGTCAAATTACAAGGGAGATGACTATCTACTTCACAATAACCCAAGAACAGTCACCTCATTAGTATATGTAATTCTAATACTACCCAAACAAACGCAACAATGTTTACAAGAGCAATTTTCATGGCCTTCTGGGATTGAAGCTAGAAGTAACTCCTACAGATCTGAGATTAACTCCTTTTGATTATCTTATGACCTGTGTGTGGGTGTGAATGTGTGACTAACATGAACAGCCAGACAGAATATCAGCAATTGTAACAAACTGTACATGACTTACTCTCATGTAACAGGCTCATTCATAGCCTTTTAAATTTTATAAGATATTCAAACTCATTTTTACAAAATCTATGATAACATTGATAATTTTGCTTCACCAATTTTAATTGAACTCCATTATTAATAGAAGTTCATAAATGAAAAGCAAATCCAAGAAAAGTCACAGACAGGACATGAGGATTTGTAAGTCATACACGCCACAGCCTACTATTGACACACAGCATAGGCTCACAAAGTCTGGGAAAGTGAGTCTGCCAAACACTGACAGGATGAGAAGAGAAAACCCAGGGTCCAAGAGAAGAAAAAACTAATTCAAAGTGTAGCTGCAAATACCTCCCTTAACCTTGAAGTTCAAAGGCAAAAAGCAATTCCTACACTCAAAACACGTTACCTATAGACTAACAATGACTTCCCCATAAGTCGTTTATATCTTTTATACCTTGAACTTCTATAATTCATAATGTTAGAGAATATTTTTTTCTTTTGAGACAAGGTATTGCTATGTAGCCCAGGCCGACAACAATCAGTTTATAACAGTCTTCACGCTTTCAGTCTCTGGGATGCTGAAAGCTGCCCCGCCCTGCGAAGGCACACCGCCTCTGTCACTCCTGCTCTTCTCTTCACTTGTGTCGGCCCTGCCTTTCTGCACATACTATAAATCACCTTCATGATGTTTCCTTCATGTTCTCATAGCTTTATTAATGCTCAAGATTAAAGCCTACATACTAATGAGTATATAAGTCTTATTTATTTATTACAATCAAGGAAACTATCAAATGGAATTAGTTTACATAGTTCAGGAAGAATAGCATCAATTTTTAGTTACATCATGTTAAGAGTTGGCTCAAGTATAATAAAAACCTTCAGAAATTAAACCCTTGTACCAAATAGCCTGGTTTTTGTTTTGTTTTATAACACCTATATCTCATATTGACCCATGAACAAGGACAATTTAGAAGTGATACAAGTAGTAGGATAATGTATTGGTTGTGACATTGCCCAGAAGTAATTAAATTACACATTCCTGTCCTATTAAAAATTTACATTTTGGCAGGAGGTAGCAGCACACACCTTTAATCCCCGTACAGAGATAGGTATATCTCTAAGTTTAAGACCAGCCTGGTCTATAGAGCAAAGCAAGTTCCAGGATAGCCAAGACAGTCAGGGCTACACACAGAAACTATCTCAAAAAAACAAAAACAAGAATTACATTTTGGGGGGTGGAGAGATGGCTCAGAGGTTAAAAGTGCTTGTTGTTCTTGTACAGAATCTGAATTCAGTTTCCAGTGTCCACATGGCAGCTCACACCTGTCTGTAACTCCAGTCCAGGGGATCTGATACCCCGTTCTGGTCTCTTGACCAGGCATGGACATGAGACACAGACATATATGCAGGGAGAATACCCATACACATAAATTTAAACAAAACAAAAAAACAGTATAGGCGGGGGAGGGAGCATTGCATATGCCTCTAATCCCAGCACTTGGGAAGAGGCAGATCTTTGGGAGTTCAAGACCAAGACCAAGCCTGGTCCATGTGAGTTTCTCTGTAGCTCAGGCTGGCTTGGAACATGCAGCAATGCTCCTTCCTTTTGTTTCCTGAGAACTGGGATTTACAAGCATGAGCTGAAATCATAAACAACTCAGGAGGGGCCGGGGGAAATCCCAAACAAAACAGAGCTCAGGTTGGACTAGACATTAATCCTAGCTTATTTAACCCTTAGGCTGGTCTCTATGCCACAAACAACCTATAAAATTGTACAAAGCAGTCCTGAAGGGTATGTGAGAGAAGATCAATTAACTAAATTCTGATTGGAAAAGAAGTAAAAAGTCATTTATTTCTCTATTTTGGGGCATTGACAAATTCTTACATAAAGTCAAATTTCATTGGTATATTTCCCAAGTGTCTTATGTGGTACATCAAAATGTGTTTTAACAAAAAATATTTCAATTTGGGGAACAATGCTGAAGCTATCATGTTAGAAAGGAAGACTGCCTGATGAGTACAGAACTCAAGGAAGCTTGGTATCTTGCTTGTAGGTGCTGAAGTTGTGCTGCTTTCCTTTCTGCCCGAGGCTGGCTTTTCTGGACACCTACTGCTCACCAGGCCACTGCTTACCTTAAGAGGCAACTGTTCTCAGCAGTGGCCTGCTCAGGGCTGAGAGCTGGCAGTATTGTTCCTCCAAAAGGGTTCTCTCCAGAAAACTTGCCACAACTGCCTTTAAACATTTAAAAATGAAGTTCATTCTATCCCAAACTTAGAAAAGTACAAGTTCTGAAAGCCAGGCTTGAGATTCTATATCTTCTATAGTGGGCATCTCACAATTAAGAGAAATGTAAAACATGAGAAATTTCTGGGTAGAGATTTCAAAAAAAGGCTCAGACTGGTTAACAGTATATAAAGAACAAACTACAAATGGCTTAACACAGGCCTTTTTTAGCAGATGCATAATGAAATTCTTCAAGATAATTTAAAAAATTTATATTTTTGTATATACATATACATAAATAGGCAGAACTTGTAGTCTAATCATAAATGCTACTGCAAAATTAGGTTATAATGATACTTCATGTATTAATCTCACTAGAACAAAGAAAAGCTCACTTAAATTATTATTTTCCTTTTTTTCCCCCTGAGACAGGGTCTCATTATGTAGCCCTGGCAGTCCTGGAACTCACTCTGTAGACCAGGCTGGCCTTGAACTCATAGAGATTCAGCTGCTCTGACTTCTGATTGCTGGGATTAAAGTTGAGTGCCACCACTCCTGGCTTTATTTTTTCCTTATTGAAGGCTGACTATAGAATTTAGTATAAATACTATTGTTTACATGTATCCATTTGCTAAACTTAAGCCTCTAATTATTGTACAATCTTAACTGATCAACTAACTTACCTTTCTGCTTTTGTTTATTCATTTATTTAGACACCAAATTATATTCTGTAGCCCAAGTAGACCTGGCTTGAATTTAGAGTGGTACTCTTTATATAACTTCCTAAATTCTGGCATTATGGGTATGAATAACCATGCCAGCTAGCCTTTATTTTTTTTTATCGGTGTATATGTGTGTGCATGTTCATGTGGGGTTGTGGGAATGTGCTTGCATGTGGGGACACACCTTATTTTTTGAGACAGGCTCTCTCACTAGATCTCGAACTCAGTGATTTGACGAGACTGGATCCAGGGATCCATTTGTCTTTGTCCCTGACTCCCAGCCCCACACATGCTCTAACTCAGTGCTGGAGTCACAGATGTGTACTGCCATGCCTGGGTTTTATGTGGGTGCGAGTTCTGCACTCAGGACCTCGTGTATATACAGCAAATGATTTACTGACTGAGTCACCTCCCTAGCCCCAGTCTTCTCTTTTCTCAATAGCACGTTCGTTGAGCAGACAACACAAAGTAACAAAATCAGTTTCTTACCGCTGTCAGAGGTCCTTCTGCTTGTGCCTCCATTGGACTTGTGGGAGTCACTGTGAGGAACTGACTAGCAGCTCCAGCCTGGAGGTCTAGCCTATCTGTGTACTGTTCTGAAGCAGCCGTGGCAGGACATTCTGCAGAAAGTGCTAAGACCACACCTGAGCTTTCCTTTAAGTGATGGTTGTCAGTCCAAGGACCTACTTGGATCTTTTCATCTTGAGGTGATCCTTCAAGGACCTGAAGTACTTCAGGCTCCTCATCTGAAGGGCTTCCAGTTGTTTTATGGCCTAACACCTCATTTGTCCTAAAATCCCGAAGGTCTTGCTCCTTGTCCACAATCACCCATTCTTTGGAATCAACCTCCTGCTTGCAAGAGCTTAAGTTAACAGCTACAAATCCATTGCTGCCACCACCATCTGCCTGCTCTGGAGTGTTGGCAGAGGCAGGCTTGGAAGCCTCAGGGAGGTATTCTTCATCATAGTGCCAGATGTGCTCAGTGCGGGACCCAACAGGAACACAGGGTTTATGAGGCAGAGCAGGGAGAACAGACTCCTTTCCTGCACTGGAATCTTTCTGCATTTTCTCCATGCTTAAGGAAACAGAAAGAAATTACTCAATTGTCCTTGGAGAAACTTTATTACATACTGATAAGCTCCATATGAACAACCATTCTTACAAAAGTGTGATGAGTACATATGGAAAAAACAGAATTTCACAGGGTTGATGATGTTCTCTACTTGCCATTCCTGCTCCTCCCTAACACTGTCCACTTTCAAAGTCTCTTTTGTTAGTTGAAGTCCTTGCCAAAATGTTTATTTCTATTGCTCTCTTATATCTAGTTCTCATCTTAACTGTAATCCAAATGGTTAAAGCAGTGTTCAAGTCTAATTCACCCTTTTAATCATATCTGGATATGTAATAATGGATGACCTTACATTTCTGATCCTCCTGCCTCTCCCTTCCTACAACTGAGATTACAGGCATGTACTACAACACAAACTTTTATGTCTCTCTGGGGACTGAACATAGGGCCTCATATATGATATGCAGGTACTCTGCCAACTGAGTAAGACCCCTAGCCCAAATCCATTGCCTCTCTTAAATGAACATTTCATCGCCAACAGTTTCACAGTTGGGACCATAGTGTGTGTCATCACATACATTGTAATTTTCTTGAAGACTTTCATTAATTTTAAGTATAATTCAAATCTTACATTTTCATTTCCATCTTGTTACCAAAATCTGTTATAGAAAGAATGTGTCTAATTGATCGAAAGCAACAATCATTATGATATATATATATATATATATATATATATATATATATATATATACACACACACACACACACACACACACACACAGATCTCAAAAGTTTCTCTTTTCTTCTTTCTTGGGGTAGGAGTGTAATAGGATACAGTGATAAACTTAATACTATGTATTTTCCCACTGCATCTTTTCTCTGTGTGTTCCCCTCACTCCTGTCTAATGTTGCCTTTATTGTGCCCTTTCTACCTCTACACTGTTGCTCCAAAGAGTTCACTTTCTAACAAGGTCACAGAAAATAGAGTACAGCTAGGACCACACAGAGAAATTCCGTCTTGGAAAACCAAAAAAAAAAGAGAGAGAGAGAGAGAGAGATGGTGATATATAACTATGATATGAACAAACGGAAACTTTAATGGAGTCAGCATTATAAAAATACAAGAATTTCTTAATATAATAGAAAAAATATATATTACATACCAGGTCTCAAGAAACTTGTCAGTATCTGGCTTTGGCTCCAGTGTCAGTCGTTTTTCTAGCTCAAAGCTGTGAATGGAACGTAACTTCCTTACTAACGGGACATCCCTATCTGGCTGAGTAATCTCTGATCGGACACGAATTGGTGAGCCAAGGCTTGGAGCATTGGGAATACCGTTGATGTGACCATGGCTATTTTCTTCTTCAGTAGCAGCCTAAAAAAAATATAAAAAGAAACATGAAAAATATTTCAAATATTATACATGAAAGAAATCACTGAAACCGCTGAAATAATAACAAAATGATTACACGTGTTTTCAGAAAATAAAAAAAATTGTTTTGTTTACTTGTTTTTCCAAGGCTGTATTTTATTATATATCTCTGGCTGTCCTGGAACTCACTCTGCAGACCAGGCTGGCCTTGAACTCACAGAGATCTGTCTGTCCCTGTCTCCCGAGTGCTGGGATTAAGGCATGTACCACTACTGCCCAGCTCTAATATTTTTTTTACTTTAAGTTTAAAAATTGTATTCATGTATTTTCTTGCTTAATTATATGTGTGTATGTGTTATGGAATATTTGTTTACAAGGTAGCGATGTGTCTTTGCCAAGACACCTTCTGATTGGTTTAATAAAGCACTGAATGGCCAATTGTTAGACAGGAGATATAGACAGGATTTCCAAGGAGAGAAAAGAAGAGAAGATGATTACAGGCATGCAGAATATGCCATGGACACATGGGGAGAATAAAAGAAAGGTAAAAAGTCACATGGTAAAACATGGATTAACATAAGCAAGCTAATTTAAGTTATAAGAGCTAGTTAGAAACAAGTTTAAGCTAAAGCTGAGCTTTCATAATTAATAACAAGTCACCATATTATTATTTAGAAGTTGGCTGGCTGAACAAAGACAAGACTGGCTACACATATGTGCCCCTCCCACATGTGAGTTTGGCAATCAGAGAACAACTCTCCTTCCATGTGAACTGCCAGGCTAGGTGGCAAGCACCTTAAGATATTTGACTTTGGGGCTGGAGAAATGGCTAAGCAGTTAAGACCATCTACTGTTCTTACAGAGGACTGGGTTTTGAGTCCCAGCACCCATATCATGTGATTCACAATGACTTTTAACTCCAATTCTAGGAGCTCTGAAGCCTTTGGCTGCCACAGGTACCTGTACACACATGCACACAATTAAAAATATTTAGATGGTAATAGTTTTATTTCAATAAATTTCTGTTTACTAATCCTTTGTAGTCAGTTATATTAGGTTTATATTCACTTTTAGTATGAACTTATTTAAAAGTTTTTTGGTACAAAAATAGTCTAAAAATGCTTAAAGATCTTCACTTCTTACATTGTAAACATTAGCAGGCAGTAAACGTCTCTCTTCCATGAGACTAGGCTCTCAGGAAACCAAGTAATGGGTGGAAGTCAGTTGCCAAAGCCACACCCTTTGACCCTAGCCACACTGCTTACCAGTTTAAAGACTCATGTGGTTAGAAGGAGATCCAGAATCTCAAAATAACTTGGTTAGAGTCTCTTCATCAGAATTCTGCATCCAGAACAGCTTCTAGGCTCCTGGCTGAGATGATCGAGCCTCACAGAATACTCCAGCCAGGACTTGACCGTAATCCTGAATTTTCTCAGGATCCCCCAAAGATTGCCAGTGCCCCAATCAACAGGGAACTATACCCACATCCCCAGAAACTGGATTATGGTGTTTATTATCATTTCAGGGGGGTTGGTAATGGTCAGGAAAAAACAGCTGAACAAAGGAGATTAGATTCAGAGATCTCTTTCTAAAAAGAAAAGGGGGGATATAGAAATGCTAGGATAGGGCCAGATGGTAGCACACACCTTTAATCACAGCACTTGGGAGGCAGAGGCAGGCAAATCTCAGTGAGTTTGAGACCACCCTGGTCTACAAAGAGTTCTGGGCAGCCAGATCTATTACTCAGAGAAATCCTGTCTTGAAAAACAAAACAAAACAGAAATGACAGAATAAAGGGTACATCATTATTATTGAATCTACTTTAATCCAAAAACAACTATTAATCTTAAATATTTTACATTGGTATGGAGTTTGGCTTGGTTTAGTGATACAAATTTAAGGTTAATTATGTAATACTGAATATATGTTTCCACTCTCAGCTAGAGTATTCTGCTTATGAAGTTCATTTAAAAATTTAATGTATAGTTAAGAAATGAGAGTTAGTAGTCATCTATAATAGTCAAACTTATAGTCATGTTAGATATGTTTTCAAGGTCACATAGATACTTTTAAATAGATGGTCTTCAAACACTTCAGAGACCTACAGAATTAATGTTTAATAACCTAAGACCTAAGGTTTTTCATGAAACTGAGATATATCTGCTCCTGGCAGCACCAAGGTACTTCAGAGAAAATGATGGGCATTGAAGAAACTCCATAAGAAGCTTGTTTTATTTAGGCAAAAACTATCCAAAAACTGTCCTTGCCTCAATTGCTGACAGTTACTGTCCAAACTGGACCATCAGGACACAAGAAAGGCAACTGTCAAACTTTGCCAAGGCAAGATAGGACAATCTTTCAAGATTCCCTACTTCACAGGGAAGTCTGTCAGATATGCTAGGCCTGTAGGTTAGGGTTGAATGACCCAGCATTGCAGAAGAACTCTGGATAACTGTCCAGGCAGTCTGATGTCCCTGTCATTGGTAACATTACAACTATCTGGGGTCTTTCATGGACTTAAAGACTAGTTAAACTTACAGTTTTCCTTAGTTATGATAGAAAACAAATTAGGTATAAATCTTTGGACTCACAAAGATAGGACAGATAATGGAGTATTTTCTTTGATTTTGCCAAATGCAAATAGACTGGATATTGTGACTTATATTGAAACTTCTTTTTAATTAGACAAAAAGGGGGAAATGCTAGGGAACAATGTTTGTACACTGTAAATGTGCACTGTTCTTATTGTTAATAAAAGGCTGATTGGCTGAAAGCTGGCCAGGAAGAGTTCGTGATCGAATGCCATCTGCGATCTTCTCACTCCTGGCCTTTTGGCCTTTTCACCTTATTAAAGACAATACACCAGGGCTGTGCACAGAGCTCAACTGAACAGAGTCAAGGAAAGGCATAGAGCTCTGTCACATTATTTGGAATGATATTTCTTTTCTGTTTGTTCTCATGTTTTCCCTCCTTCCTCCTTTCTTCTGTTCTTTTACGGTAATGGTAGAGATGGAACCCTCATGCATGCCAGGCAACTGCTCTACCGCTATATCATACTCCCACACCTGATTTATTTTAAATATCTTTTCCATAAAACACAATGAATATTAATACTTTGTATCTAAATATGAGCACTTTGGACCATACTAACTAAAATATCACCATTTCAAATACTTAAAGTAATTAGCAAGGGGGCTGGAGAGATGGCTCAGTGGTTAAGATAATTTGCTACTTGCAGAGGACCCGAGTTTAGTTCCCAGAATTCACAACCATTCATAACTCCAGTTCCAAGGGATCTGATGACTTCTTCTGACTTCCACAGACACACACGTGGTGCAAATATGTAAATGTAAACAACAGTAATATATACATACATGAAAAATAATTTTCTTTTTTTGTGATTTTTGAGACAGGGTTTCTCTGTATTATTTTGGCGGTTGTCATGGAACTCACTCTGTAGACCAGGCAGACCTTGAACTCACAGAGATCCACCTGCCTCTGCCTCCCAAGTGCTGGGATTAAGGGTGTGAGCTATCAACATCCAGCAGAAAAATGAATTTAAAAAAAATAAAAAACAAATAACAATTCTGTTCTACTTTACACTCAAAACTGAGAATCATAAATTGGTGGAATTATTTAGTGGATAAAGTTTCTTGCCACCAAGCTTAAGAAGCTGTTTTTTTTTTTTTATTAAATTTTCCCCCTTCCCTTTCTTCCCTCCACCCCTCTAACCCTCCACATGCACAGTTGGCCCCTCAACTCTCAAATTCATGGCCTCATTTCAACTGTCATTACATATGTATGTAGATATCTTCCTAAGTACATCAACCAACCTGCTCAGTCCATACAATGTTACTTGTATATATACCATTTCAGGGTCCAGTACCTTGTTATTGGATAACCAGTATGGAGGCTCTTCCCTGGTAAAACTATGGAATGCTTTGATGAAGATGACCAGGGTTTGATCTCCAGGAGTAACATGATAGAGAGAAGAACTCCTGCAGGTTGTCTTCTGACCTTTGCATACACACACACTCTAAACTGTGTAGCAACAAGAGAAAAGTAGAAAGTATAGAAAGAGATCACTTCCTGTACAAGAAATATGTACCTTACAAATTCCAAGCTTTATCTTATTCTTGTTGATATCCATCTCTTCCCAGACATCCTTTTCCTGAGGGCGAGCATGCCCTAGAGATCCAGGCAATTTATCTGGTGATACACCAACAGGGATTCCATTCTCCCCATCACTAAGCTGTTCATCTGGAAACACTTCATCTGTATTTTCTCGGAGCAAGTCTCCTGGGATGGGAGTGGCATTTGCAATTCTGAAACGTGAGAAGAGGAAAACAGACAATTTCAAAAGACCAGAACCAAAAAGTTACCATGAGACAGACTATTCTACATTATGTCTCTGGATTTAAGTTTATACATAATTAAGAGTTAAAACTTAAAATGTGTTTTTGTTTTTTGTTTTTGTTTTGTTTTTTGTTTTTCAAGACAGGGTTTCACCTTGCAGCCTTGGCTGTCCTGGAACTCACTCTGTAAACCAGGCATGCACCACCACCACCTGTGCTGACAATCTCTTTAAAAGTCAGAAACATCTGTTCAACTTTCCATGAAACTTTCTTCAATAAAATAAAATTTCCCATTCTTTAACATTTTTGTAAATAAGAAAAAACCAATTATACATAGGAAATATAAGGAATATAAGGAAGTAAATAGGGGTTAGATGATTTTTTTTAGTATGAAATGTATACTGTTGTTTTATGTAATCAATTTTTATTAAATTTTTTTCATTCAATATATTTTGATCATGGTTTTCACCTTCTAGAACTCCTTCCAACCCACCCAATTTTATGTCCTTTCTCTTACTCTTTAAAACAAACAAAGGGTGGTGGTGGTACATGCCTCTAATCCCAGCACTTGGGAGGCAGAGACAGGCAGATTTCTGTTGAGTTTGAGTCCCGTCTGGACTTCAAAGGGAGTTCCAGGACAACTAGGGTTGTTACACAGAAACCCTGTCTTGGAAAAAAAAATAACAAACACCAAAAATGAAAAGCCCCAAACCAAACAAAGCAAAAAACACGGTAACAAAAATAAAAACTAACTGGAAAAAGGCGATAAGACCCCCTCACCCCCCCCAAAAAAAGACCCCAAAAGTGAGACAAACCATGTACGATGTTTTTCATTACAAAATTCACTAAGGCCCCAAGCAAAACAAAAGGGAAGATTAGAAATTCTGAAATTACAGAATTCATACACGTCCACATGAGAAGAATAGAAAATATTTACAGGTCTTACTTGTTTTAAGATTAATTTTTTATTTATTATGTATACATGTCAGAGGAGGGTACTAGTTTCTCATTATAGAGAGAATGGGAATTGAACTCAGGACCTCTACTAGAGCAAGCAGTGCTCTTAACCTCTGAGCCATCTCTCCAGCCCTAAGTCTTACTTTTATCCCAAATCCTGGGATTACAGGAGTACCCATCATGCTATATAGATTTCTTTTGAATGAATTTCACGTCCTATTTACATAGTTGTCATCACTCAGCCTACTGGCCCATGAGAGGCTAACTCAAAAGTCCTCTGATAACTCTATGCTCCATAAATACTAGTGTTGTTGTTTTTACATTATTTATTTATTTATTTATTTTTTGCCTACATATATATCTGTGTGAGGGTGTCAGATCCCTTGGAACTGGAGTTACAGATAGTTGTAAGCTGCCATGTGTGTGCTGGGAATTGAATCCAGATCCTCTGGAAAGGCAGCCAGTGCTCTTAATTGCTGAACTATCTCTCAAACCCCAAAACCAATATTTTTAAAAAATATTTCTGGCTGAGCACCATATTTAGCATACAAAGTAATTTCTAATAAGTAACCTGGACAAAAGTAACAGGAAAACAACCCTCAATGGACTATATTGACATATGTCATTATTGTGAGCAGCAAAAATAATGCCAGGCATAGTGGCACATACCTTTAGTCCCTGCACTTGAAAGGCAGAAGCAGGTAGATCGCTGGGAGTTTAAGGACAGCCAGGATACACAGTGGGAACTCCACACAGGCTCTCTTCCACATGACTCAGGCTTCTCCTTTATATTTAGTCCTTATTTTTTATTCTTTAAATATTTTTCCTTTTCTGAAACTCTCTTAATCAAGAGTTTGACAAAAGGAAAGAAACGATTCTACAAACAACATAAAATATCTTGGGGTAACACTAACCAAACAAGTGATAGACCTGTATAACAAGAACTTTGAGTCTTTAAAGAAAAATGGAAAGATCTCCCATGCTCTTGGATAGCTAGGATCAACATAGTAAAAATGGCAATCTTGCCAAAAGCAATCTACAGATACAGTGAAATCCCCATCAAAATCCCAACACAATTCGTCACAGACCTTGAAAGAACAATACTCAACTTTATATAGAAAAACAAAAAAACCCAAGATAGCCAAAACAACACTGTACATACAATAAAGGAACTTCCGGAGGCATCACCATCCCTGACTTCAAGTTCTATGATAGAGCTACAGTCCTGAAAAAAAGCTTGGTATTGGCACAAAAACAGGTAGACCAATCGAATCAAAATGAAAACCCTGACATTAACCCACACACCTACGAACACTTGATTTTTGACAAAGAAGCTAAAGTTACACAAAGGAAAAAAAAGTAACTTCAACAAATGGTGCTGGCATAATAGGATGCTGACATGTAGAAGACTGCAGATAGATCCTTATTTATTGCCATGCATAAAACTTAAGTCCAAATGGATCAAAGACCTCAACATAAATCCAGTCACACTGAACCTCTTAGAAGAGAAAGTGAGAGGTACTCTTGAACGAATTGGTACAGGAGACAGCTTTCTGAACATAATACCAGTAGCACAGGCACTGAGATCGACAATTAAGAAATGGGACCTCCTGAAACTGAGAAGCTTCTGCAAGGCAAAGGACACAGTCGACAAGACAACACAACAGCCCACAGAATGGGAAAGATATTCACCAACCTCACATCTGACAGAGGGCTGATCTCCAAAATATACAAAGACCTCAAGAAGCTAGCCACCAAAACACCAAACCATCCAATTAAATTGTGAGGTTCAGAACTAAACAGAGAATTCTCAATAGCGGAATCTAAAATGGCTGAAAGACACTTAAAGTGCTCAGTATCCTTAGTCATCAGGGAAATGCAAATCAAAACAACTCTGAGATACCATCTTGCTCCTGTCAGAATGGCTAAAATCAAAACCACCAAAGACAGTCTATGCTGGAGAGGATGTGGAGAAAGGGAAACACTCCTCCAGTGCTGGTGGGAGTGAAAAATTGTACAGCCCAGTTTGGAAATCAGTATGGTGGTTTCTCAGGAAAATGAGAATCGGTCTACCTCAAGATCCAGTAATGCCACTCTTGGACATATACGCAAAGAATGCATATTCATACAACAAGGACATCTGTTCAACTATGTTCATAGCAGCATTATTTGTAATAGCCAGAACCTGGAAGCAACCTAGATGCCCCTCACCTGAAGAATGGATGGAGAAAATGTGGTACATTTACACAATGGAGTATTACTCAGTGAAAAAAAAAAAAACCGCTCCAAGACCCCAACCCCAGCGAGTCCAGCTTCAGGTGAGATTGGGTCTCCCGCGGGGACCGCCCGCCCATCACCCATCCCCCTTGATCTTCCGGGCCGCTCCTGGCATCCACAAGACCCGCCCACACAGGAAAGACATCAGCCCCTCCAAGACCCCAACCCCAGCGAGTCCAGCTTCAGGAAAGACATCAGCCCCTCCAAGACACCAACTCCAGTGAGTCCAGCTTCAGGAAAGACATCAGCCCTTCCAAGACCCCAACCCCAGCGAGTACAGCTTCAGGAGACCTGCCCACACAGCAAAGAAGTCAACAATTCCAAGACCCCAACCCCAGCGAGTTCAGCTTCAGGAAAGACATCAGCCCTACCAGGACCCAAACTCCGTGTCAGCATCCCCAGCTTCAGCTGCAGGAAGGAAGGAGACCAGTGGAGACGGAAAGACCCCACCAGCACCCACTGGAAGAAGAGATGGGAAGAAGACAGAAGAAGAGATCACTCAGCAATAGAAACACCAACATGACCCCACCAGAATCCAGGGATCCAACACCAGCAAGACCCGAAAAGCACTACATAGACGAAGAAGAGGAGACAGACCTTAAAAATTATTTCATGAAGATGATGGAGACCCTCAAAGAAGAAACAAGGAAATCCCTTAAAGAAATAGAAGAAAAAACAAACAAAAAATCCATGAAATGGGGAAAAAATTCAAGAAATGAACAAATCTCTCAAAGAATCTAAAGAGCACCAAGAAAAAACAACCAAAAAAATTAAGGAAACAACTCAAACAGTTGAAGGATTGAAAGCTGAAATAGAAACGATAAAGAAAACACAGAACAAGGGGATGCTGGAAATAAAAAGCTGGGTAAACAATCAGGAACTACAGATGCAAGAATACAAGAGATAGAAGAGAGAATCTCAGGTGTTGAAGACTCATTAGAGGATATAGAGTCGTCAACCAAAGAAAATCTCAAAACCAACAAATCCTTAATACAAAATATCCAGGAAATATGGGACACCGTGAAGAAGCCAAACCTGAGAATAACAGGTATAGAAGAAGGTGAAGAAATTCAACTTAAAGGTACAGAAAACATATTCAACAAAATCATAGAAGAAAACTTCCCTAACCTAAAGAAAGATATGCCTATGAAAGTACAAGAATCTTACAGAACACCAAATAGGCTTGACCAAAAAAAGAAGTCACCTCGCCATATAATAATCAAAACATCAAACCTACAGAGTAAAGAGAAAATATTAAGAGCAGCTAAAGAAAAAGGCCAAGTAACATAGAAAGGCAGACCTATCCGAATTACACCTGACTTCTCAATGGAAACGATGAAAGCCAGAAGATCCTGGACAGATGTCCTACAAATGCTAAGGGAACAAGGATGCCAGCCTAGACTACTATATCCAGCAAAGCTCTCAATTACCATAGATGGAGAAAACAAAATATTCCATGACAAAGCCAGATTTAAAGAATACGTATCCATGAATCCAGCTCTACATAAAATGCTAGAAGGAAAACCTAGAGCCAAGGAAGATAACTACATTCACAAAGACACAGGCAATATATAATCACACTATACAAAACACCAAAAGAAAAAGGGAGGAGAAACTACACAAAATAACTTCACTAACAATAAATCAAGCACAAACAAGGATCACCAATCAATGGTCATTAATATCCCTCAATGTCAACGGCCTCAACTTGCCTATAAAAAGACACAGACTAGCAG